ATGGTATTGTGTTCAGTAAAGGCAATGAATAATAGGGAGAGTTGCAAGCCTTAATTTATAGGGAGCAGAAGAGAAACAACTTGTTTTGAGTGTGATCCATTGTATTGTGTGTGTACTGTTTGTGTACGCTGTGTGAATCAATGCTAATCCTTAAAGGTGTGTTGTCTGTGGAGTCTGGGTTCCCTTTATTCTGATAAGAATTTATTACAGGGGAAGAAAAATGGGACTCCTTGAGGACTAAAATATATTTTTGAAGCCAGTTTACATAAAGTGAAGCTAGGTAGGCTGGAGGTTTGGCTTGTGGATGTGCATTTTTTGAGGAAAAACTGTCATAATGTTGTAGATGCCATGAAGTTGCCTATACATCTTTAAATTGGCTTTTCAAAATCACCAGATCAACTTTCTGGGATTGTCTACCAGAATTTAATTTTCACTTAACCGTGGCCTGTGGAATTGCTGAAGTCCTGAGAGATAATCTTCTAGATGCTTAAAGACCTAACTTGCTAGGGGCACATTTGATTGCAGATGACTGAAATAGTTTAACGCATTGCTTGCTGCCTTCAGCAATTTGTCACTGCCCACTAACTAGAAGGTACTGCCACTGTTCCAAAGGGAACAGAAGAAATGCAAGTGCTCCTCTTCTGTTTCCCTGAAAATAGGGCTTTTGCACTTTAGATTAAACCAGGTTAATTTGGGTTTAATGTGGCTGACTTTACATAAAAGTGGATTATGTATGTATGTATACTTATATGTATGGTCTTCTGTTGACTGACTTAAGGGAGTGGATAACCTCTCATTAGTGGGTGCTAAGTCTTCAGTCACTCTATCTAGATCTGTAAGAGGAAATTTAACTGTGTCCTAACATGTTGTCAGCAAAGTCATTGTATCAGATGTGACCCTTATAGTTTTTATTCTAGTAATTAGTGTTATATCCTTTGCAGGTAGAATGCTGGCTTGATAGGCTAGGCAGCAGTAAAAGCCAAAGGAGGTGACAGTTGCAAAAACTATTTGTAACAGAAGTGTGTCTTGAAATTCTCCTTCTAATAGCAGAATAACGCTGGTATCTGTAGCACAATGCAATCTAGTGTAAATACGAAATATAGGAGATAAGAGCTGGCTTAAGTAGAATTTTTTTGTTTGCCATTTTGAGTAGATAGAACATTTAAGTGATGCCTTTGGGATGTTATTGAGATTCTTTTATCTAAATTGGTTTTCTGTATAATACAGTTCAATGCATGTTTAAAAATATATTTTCTGGAAGTTACTTGAATATCTTTCTCTATATCCAGTTTTATAGGAACATGTTGAACTATTTCAGAATTCCTTAATTCATAATTAAGGGCTCGCCACATGTTAAGTTACTGTCAATCAGCAGAACACATTCTCAGTGAATGGCAACAATTTAGCTTTAAACCTCAGTGAAAGGCTATATGAATGAAAGGGTTAAGTTGATGGTACTTACTTTGCCTTTGCAAATGGCAGCATGTGCACATAGTCAGTTAGCAAGTTGCTGTAAATTAGCTGAGTCATGTTAAGCTTGGTGACTCAGTCTTGTGCCAAAGCCTTAAGTTTGATTTAGACATATGTAATCTCATTGTCAGTTGTCCATATTTGAGGACTGGAATTGTTTATTTGTGTGACTGCAACGCAGGAAAGGGAGGGTCGGATACTGGTGTAGAGAGACACTCAAGGTTCCTGAGGAGTTAAACAGGATAGATTTAATAAAGGACTTACTTACACTCCAAGCTGCACAGGGAGCCCTGGGGACTGCATGGAGGGGTCAATGGGAGGCTGCTGGATGCGTGGGTTGGATGCCCAGGCAGGATTCACCTCATTTTATCCTAAGGGTCCCTTTTATCTTCTAGAACTATTTCCTTATCTCAGCTGTGCTAACCTTGGGTAGCTACCAGCCAGGAAGCAGCTAGACATTGCTGACAAAACAGAATATGCATGTCCGGCCCTGATGGGAATTTGGTCAGTGTGTAGTTTCACACTCTGGGGCTGCTATCACGTACTCTGCCAGTCACTGACTCCTCACCAGATCTTCTGCAGGTGTTCTCTCTACAATTTGAATTTAGTGTATGGTCTGTTCTTAAACTGATTTACATGTATTGTAATTTCTGAAAATGCAGAAGACCAGTGTTGGTCACTATAGTGTTCTTGTCTCTAGTGTATTAATTTTATTTTTGAGTTCCTGTTAGAAGCCGATCATGACCTCATGACCACATTGTTTGTATTTTATAGCTTGCTCTAATCAAAGAGTATATCAGTTCTTTGGTGAGCAAGTGTGTAGTTTGATTCTGCATACAGTACTTCTGTTAAAGTGGCTTTTGTGATTTTTCAGAACTTTTTTTTTTTTTAACTTTGCATGCACTTTGCCTGCTAATAAAGTCAAAGGGGTTGTTTTCCTGTTAAAGCTTTATTTGTGAAAATAGGGTTTGCTTT